ATATAGTACATCAAAGTTGATTTACATGTATTTAACTCTCTCTCGCCTCTCTCTGTCTGTGACCTCTTTCCCTTTGTATATGTATTTCAGAATGTATCTGAAATTCCATTTGCATATATCTATAGTGATTCACATGTATGTGAGAGACACATACTCCATCCTTCGCCTCTCCCCCTATAAATATGTATTTCAGAGTATGTGGTAGCAAAAATGCATGTACCAAACTTGATATGTAATTTTTCTGAAAAGAATTAATAAAGATGATATAAATGTTTATTTATTGGGAAAATCACTTACGTGTACACTTTTTAAAAAATATTTACGATATTTGTCAACATTATTCTTTTAACCATTTATAACAATTTGGTTGAATGACATTATTGCTAAAAGTTGCGAATGACAGCACTTGCTAAGTTTAAATTCTTTACTTACATAAACAGGAACAAAATTATTTTAAGTAAGTATTGCTAAAAATTGACAAAAATAATAATAAATTAAAAGTATATTTAAAAGTGATAATTATTAAATAAAAGACCTTCACTTATGTAAATTAGGTAATTTTGCCAAAAATAAATACGATAACTTAAATAACACATGTGAAAATGAAATTGGCTTAACAAATACAATTTCTATTGTTATTGGGATTTGGGAAACTTGCAAGATGGGCTTTAATCAATATGGCCCAAATTCTTTTTTTCACACTTTATAATTGATACTTTCCTTCTTAATTAATCAAAAAACTATTCTTCAATTCTTCATCTTCTCTGAGAAAAAAAAAGCACCTTCAATTCTTCGATCAATCATCAATGGCGTTGGAATGGGTTGTTCTCAGCTACGCTGCGGGTGCAGAAGCAATCATGCTCCTTCTCCTAACAATTCCGGGTCTTGACCCACTTCGTAAAGGGTTAATCGCCGTGACCCGAAATCTTCTCAAACCGTTTCTCTCGATCGTACCCTTTTGTATCTTCCTGTTAATGGATATATACTGGAAGTATGAGACCCGACCCACTTGTGAATCAGCCGAATCTTGTTCCCCATCGGAGCACCTCCGTCATCAGAAATCGATTATGAAGTCTCAGCGTAACGCGCTTCTCATCGCATCTGCTCTTGTTTTCTACTGGCTGTTGTATTCTGTTACTGGACTTGTTGTTAAAGTTGAGCAGTTGAATAAGCGTGTGGAGAAGTTGAAGGCTCAGGATTGAAGTGAACGATTTGGATCGAGTTTCGGGTTTTCCAATCGGATCTGCCACTCTTTTGCTGGTATTTATATGGTCTGGGATATTTAGTGAATTGGGTTTTTCTTGTACTGCTTTGATCTTTAATTATGGAGTAATAATGTTATACGACTTGTGAATTGCTCAATGGATTATCTTGTTTTGATTTTTGGGTTTTCGATTGTTATATTAGTTAGCACTTGTTTTGATTGTTTGTAGACTGATGCATGAGCTATATTATGGAATTTATGACTTAATGGGTAATGCATCTTATATTTTGTTACTTGAGCTGAGGGTCTGTAGGCAGAGGCGAATCTAGGATTTTTCGAACATGGGTGCACCAAGTAAAAGTATTGAAGTGAGAATTGATCCTTAATTCTCAAGGTCAAAAGCTCAACATCTAACCATGTGGACTATTTAGACTTCTTGTAGTACGGGTGCAAGAATATAGTATTATACAAAATCTTAAAAAATATACATATAAAATATCTAATTTTACGAAGAGACCACGGGTGCGGGTGCCCTATTTTTTGGCTGTAAATTCGCCACTGTCTGTAGGAACAACGTTTCTACCTTCACAGGGTAGGGGTAAGGCTGCGTGCACGCCACCCTCCCCCAGATTACACTTGTGGGATTACACGGGTGTCATTGTTATACCCATGTCTAGAAACTTTATGTGGTATTCATGAATAAAAGTTTAAACTTTATTCATTGGTCAACCTAACGAAAGAAAAATCAGGATAATGAGCGCACCGCTCACCAAGTGGACAGCATGAGCAGCAGGTAAGTGCTTGGTAAGCCCAATGTGGAAGTATTTTAGTTGATGTTGTTGATAGTATAGGTAGTAACTACACATATTGCCAAAATGCTGAACGTCGTGCTATACTCTTGGTATAGTTCTTGATTGCTGTGTGTTTTGGTAGAGATTTGGAACCAAGATGTTGGATTGTCTGTAACTGTAACTGGATTACTATCCTTTACTAAAATAATGTCTTGCTGAATAAAATAGGAAATGGAAAAAAGAAATAATCATTAATGTTTTCTCAAGGGGATGATCTGGTGATTGAAATATTGGACTGTAGATCCGAGGTTTGATCCCCTGATACAACCTTTGCTTGTTGCATTGTAGCACGCTCCCTAGTGGTTGGCCAAGGTGCGTGCAAGTTAGTTTAGATACAATAAGTTGTTACTACTCAAAAGACTTGAAATATCCTTATGGCTCATGCACCGCCTTTTTAAATGATGAGGTGTGCATGGTTACTTGTAAGCATGGTTGTTCTCTTGTCTCTTGTTAAGCATAACACATTAACTAGTGTATTTTGCATACCAAGCGAGTTGGCCTTTTAGGTGGAGTTAACCAAATTAACTAGAATGCTAACAACTTCTTTACTAACTCTTTAAAGATTGCAATGGGGCGGGAATCATTTCTTCCCATATATCCTTGCCTGCCCCACATAGTCTTACCCAACTTAAAACTAGCTTGCTCCACCTCTCTGGTTTAGTGAATTTCCTTTTTATTATTTGTAAGAGTAATCTAACCCTTGACCCAACCCATTGCCACAACTACTTTTATTGTCACTTACCTTCATTTTTTTATTTGAGAGAGGCTCTCTGAGATCTCCACAAGGTTCTTCTTACGGCAACCTCATTTCTTCAAAAATCCACCTACTGTAGCCTTATGTGAACCATTAGAGTAATCATGACTTACTAAGGGTCAGGACGAGATCTCAAGGTAGAGAGGGGTTTAGCTATGCTACAGAATTTAGTTCCTAAGGATAGAGCTGAAAGGAGCTGTGAATAGTATTGGACAACAAAAAGGAGGATCACCTTGCTTTAAGAAAACTAACTGATGGCCATATCTATTTGATGAATGTGGTATCAAGGTTTGGTTTATTTGGAAAAGAGATCAATCTTGGGGGAGACCATTCGAATGGGTGAATTGATGACTTCACTTTGATCTCTTCGACTGAACCTAAAGGAGACTTCAATCATTCAACTTTAGCTTTTGAAGGAGGAAATCATGTCACTTGGAATTTCGGAAAGTGAATCCTCTCTTTCAAATCCTGGCCTTGGTAGACCATGTCACCATGCTTTTTCCATCCCCAACAGCTCTGATATCTCCTTGTTTGAACTTTGAGCAACTATTTATTGTATCCATGACCAAATATGGAGCCTTTAAAAGGGTATCTTGCTTTATGTTTTTTTTTGTTCTCTTAGAAACAAGAACCAATATTTGGAAAATCAACATCAAATTAGTTGAGGGTATGCTACAGCGAGGAGATTTATTGATTGGGAATATATGGTGCTTAAAGCAGAAAGCAAGTGAAATCCCAAAACAAACCTTCTTTTAGAATATCCAACAGCACCGTATTTTCTGGGGAACCTGGCAACTTCTTACAACAGAGTTTGGCCAAGTCTGGTGGACTGACTGGTTAGGAATTAGGATGATGATCATCTGAGTCTTTTTGACTGTAATTGAGGTCAATTAATGTGATTTGGGGTCATTATTTAGAAGTCAGACTGTATAAAGTATGAACCATGTTGGTTGTGTCAAGCCCATTGCTGAAAGTGGCATGGCAGTGTGGTGGTCTTTTTTCTCTGTGTGTGAGAGAGAGTGTAGAGTGGTTTGAGGTGGAACTGTGGAAGTGGCTGGCAGTTTGACTAGGAGAAGGCTAGTAGAGTTAATGATTTGATTATAATAGCCAACAGACATGCCAAAGAATTCTTCAGTTTTTTTGCAACGTAGCTTTTCACGAGCTGAGAGTCTTATTGGAAACAACCTCATTACCTTTCCCAAGGTATGGGCAAAGTCCTCCCCCGACCCCATTTATGGGATCACCACTGGGTATGTTGTTGTTATAGACATGCCAATGAAATTGATATGCTTGGGATTTTAGGCAAATTATATTAGCTACTGCTCATCTTCATTTGTTTGTTAACAGCAATGAAGAAGATTGCAGTAGTCAAAATTTATTTATTATTCTATATTTTCGTGTATAGTTTGCAATTAGATTCGATCTTTTCCTTTCAATTCTAAAGATGATATATCCCTTTTAAAACATTCCATTTTCATGCCTCAAGGAGAAGATAAAAAGACCTAGATGCAATTTTTAGCATGAAGAAACTTCTTGCTTTTGTATTTCCCTGTCTGGTGAAGTGTAAATGTGGATAAAATATCCAGTTAAAGGCATTGAGACAACAATTCCTTCAAAATAGCTCTAACTGTATGAGTAGGGAAGAAGTATAGAACACTCTAGTTGGTTAATGACCAACAGAAAGCAAGGAAGGAATTTACACTATATTTTTTTCCCAATGACAGAAGGAACTTACTGGTGGGGCATTTTCAGGGACTAGCCTGCTTCCCATTACTCAATAGGCAAATCTTAGCATACAAGTTGTTTATATAATAACCCGTTGAATGTGGATAAATATGTTCAGATCAGTCATATGGTGACTACAACGTTACAAAAATCAAATTTTAACCATATAAGAGTACTCAACTAAAGGCGATTGGTTTAGAATGAGCGTAATTTTATTGTATATAGACATTTTATCTATAGTTATAGGCAAACACGATGACACTTCCAGTCCAGAGTTAAATCAAACATACAAGTCCTTGTATCATGTTGATGAAACTCTTGGGGTGGAAAAGTTGTTTTTTCATTAGGTGAGTTGATTCAAATTTAATTGCCACTCAAAAAAACATAAACATGTATTTTGACCCATGAAAAGAAATCCAAGCCCACATGACAGAGTGTATTGATACAGTAAATAAAAGTTTACTCGACATTAAGAGCAATCATCATAAGTTAAAAGGCAACTTTACTATCTTTCGGCAGAAAAGTAAAGTTCCTAAAAAAGACTGCATCCTAAACAACACGGTTTCTGAGCCTAAAGCCATTCAACAGTCCATCTATATACAACTCCAATTCTAAGAAAACAAAACAAGGAGGGAAAAAAAAAAAACTAAACAGTTCTATGGTACCTCTATGTTTCTGTTTTCTTGAAAATTGGAGTTAGCACTAAGACAGATTGCTAGCTAGACATACGACTCCGTCTGCAGTTGCAGTTGCTACTACACTGTTACATCTGGATAAAGTGACTTGTACTCCACCAGCCATCGTACACGATTTCCTATCTTTTTAATAACCGAGACATTCCCAAGGATTATAGGCGCCTGGGTCAAAACTTGGTGAATGACCGGGTTCAACACTTGGTGAAGGATCACCGGCCTACAGTTCGAAATCTTGAGAATAATGGGCCTACACCTCTACCTTCCTTCACTCAAAACCATGCTTTTGTTTGCAGCAGCTTTCCAACCGTGCTGTGCAGCTAATCCACATGCCATGTGCTGTTCTAATTTCTTATTTACAAGCTATTTCTGCCACATTCTTTGGCTGATGGAAACTAGGCCTCTTCTGCCGGGCTTGGTGGTGGTGGAGTAAGTACTTGAGCCCTACATCCCAAACGTAAAACAGTTCCATGACCACTGGAGCCACGGCTGATTCTTGAAAACTGGTCCATTATAGTCCGCCTACGTTGTGATGTGAGCCGACTAACTAACATCTCCAATGCTTCTTTCATCCACACCTGTTGGCAGAGCTTTCTTGCTTCTTGAACGCTCATCTGCAAATGACATTTGGAAATACTAGTAAGCAAAGATGATTATGTGACGTTATTTATATGCAAACTTATCGAGTACGGACAGCTGCATACCCAAAATCTTTCACGGATGTCTTTCTCAGGCCACAAATCTAGTTCCTCTTTCACAAATAAAGGGAACATGTGTCCTTCATAGGCAGTGTCACCATTTTTGTTCTCGAAGAACCATGTTCCTAGTTTGCCCTGCAATAAAGTTTCCAACCTCTTGTTAGAACTACATCTAACGACCTATATGTAGATATTAACACCAACAGGATAGCAGATTAACAATTAAAAAACCGCTAGCAAGTAATAAGATTTCTTTTCGCCGTTGAACAAGCATACTTAGTCGACCTGTTACTATTAAGCATTGATTTGGAAGATTAAGAGTATCTTTAAGAGGTGATCTGGTTTCAGTACGAGTCTTAAATGCGAACCATCATGAAACCATATTGAATCAGAAACTAGTGTACTGATTCAAAATCAATACTCAGGATTAATGGTAACAAGTTGAAATTATAAGAAACTAAAAGGAATCACTGTTTTAAAAACTAACCCCAATATCGCCGCAAACACCAGCTTCCTCAATCGTCTCACGCCTTGCTGCAACTTCAATTGTTTCATCCTTTTCCCAACCTCCCTGATATAACAAGAGCGAGATTTGTAAGCAAAGCAGACAAATGAATCTGTAGAGTTTAGAGAATAAACTATCATCGAGTAACAAAACCCATATAGATCGGTGGCTACCTTGGGGAACAACAATCCTTTTCCTTTTCTCTGAGGACTTATGAGAAGAACTTCAAACGCATCTTCGTCCGCCATGGATAGGTCAAAATTATCCTTATATCTGTAAGGAATACATCTGCAGAAGACACCAGAGAATTAGACACACCGTTGATCTATACTTGAAACTCATCCCAGGACAACGTAAGCATAATGATGAAGTTACATATTTTTAGTGGTCCAAAAATAAATCCAAACTAGTATTAGTCATTCTTTAGATGCCTTCTACACAAGAGAATCATATAACAGAAACAAATCCACATGGTAACTGGTATGTGCTACCAATGATCAGATCGATATTATTAGACAACAGCTACTTAATTTTAGTTATTGTCCAAGAACAGTCTCTATCTTCACGAGGTAGGGGTAAGGTCTACCAACAATCTACCCTCCCTAGATCCCACTTGTGTGATTACACGGGGGTATGTTGTTGTTTTTGTTGTCCAAGAACAGTGTATCACACTTGCACTGTTAGAACTTTTGAAGAAAAAATGCACCAAGAAAAGGACAATGAATAAATGTCTCACCTACCCTTTCATTTAACAATTAAATAGATTAAATGAGAAGAAAAAATGGTCCTTTTACCAGAGAAAAACAAAACATGTGATGAGGTGAACACTGTGCCACGAGGTCATGACTATTTCAAGCTTAACAGAAACATCCAAAAGAAAAAAAATACACAATAGGGATTAGAAAATGACATATGAGGTCAGTTGATAAGGATAAGGAAGGGAAAAATTATGCTAACTAATTATTTATTTCTTTATCAATCTTTGGTAAATGTCAAAACTGAAACAGTTCACCTCATGTTCATTTTCAAAAAATACAAAAACTTCGTTTTCAGAAACCAATAGATTGAGAAGCTGCAATCAAGTACTCCCTCTGTTTCAATTTGCTTGTCTGGTTTTGACTTGACACAAAATTAAAAGAAAACTATAGACATGTAGAATGTACCAAAATGTCCTTTAATCTTATAGTCTTAAGCATGTCAAAAAGCATATCACATGGAAAGTAAGAATTAAAGATTTACCAAAAGAAAAGAACTAAAAAGCAAAGTAAAACAAGCAACTTGAAACAGTAGTTATTACTTCAAAGACTCTACTTTGTAAATCATTCTTGATGTTAGACCACTTAGCCCTCCACCTACTAAACTAATGGCTAGAAATAAAAGAGATTCTTGTAATTGCAGACTGAAATGGACCATTTCGCTATCATTTTGTTCATTCTAGAAGTTAACTCTTCATTACACCCACTTTCCTCCCACCCCTCCCACCAAAAGTTCTGGTTAAAACTAAAATAGGCGGAGCCCGTGCAGAAGGCTCTTGTCCTGTGACTGGCTCGGACAGTGGCCGCGACATGATTTTCACTATGGGGGTTCAGCATCTACATCATATACATAATTAGAAAAAGACTGAGCTTGTATATAAGTGTGATTTTCCAGTGACTGAACTCCCCTGCCCCCGGGGGTGGGAGAACAACAACAAGAACAAACCCCACAGGTGAGATCTGGGGAGGGTAGTAGAGTGTACACAGACCTTACCCCTTTGTTGTAAAACTAATTTTAAAACAGCCTCAACTCCTCATCCAAGAACTTGTCATTAGAGAGGCTAGTTCCAATATTCACTCATAAAAACTCAGTGCTAATCTTCACCCAAATTTGGACACTATAAGCAAAAAGACAAGAACTAATAGCCTACTATACCAAGAAGGATATGCAAAAACAGGAGAACTTCCAAAAATTATACATCTAATACATGAAGTTAAAAGGTACTAATTGATTATAACAAACATGATCTACAACAACATACACAAATGTAACCACAAGTGCAGTCCGTGGGAGAGTAGGATGTACGCAGACCTTATCCTACCTTTATCCCTCGGTTCAAAACAAACATGATCTAATATTAAATCACACTGAAATTTTAAGTTGTTAGTGTATACAATTTAATCTTGAATTTGTCTCTATCAACAAGCATGAATACAGGGGGGAAGTGAGTTTTTTTTGTTTTTAGAGTCAACATACCCAACGACTTGGCGACGACCCTGGTTGTATCTCTGTAAATGCCTGCCAGAACGTGAAACTAGAACCACCATACTTTTCAATTCGAAGAAATTCTGGGTAAAAATGGAGTCTTTATTCGAAACCCAGAACGAAAAATCAACAAGGATCAAAACAAAACACTTGAAATGCGACTTATATAGGCTTCAACAACTGAAAAGAAGAAAAACCCAAATAGGGAATCAGCAAAAAAAGGGGTGAAAAATGGTGAATCCCAATTTTGGGCAAAAAATGGAGTCTTATCTGAAACCCAGAACAAACAATCAACTTACAACGACAAAGAAACACTTGAAATGAGACTTATATAAGATAAAAGGACTGAAAATAAGAGAAACCCAGAAAGGATATCAACAAAAGAAGGGAGAAACAATGGTGAACCCCAATTTTGGTCGAAAATTTCTGCAAAAAAAATGGAGTCTTTATATGAAACCCAGAAAAAAGAAACTTAAAATGCAAATTCTTCAGTCTTCAAGAACTGAAAACAAGAGAAACCCAGAAAGGAAATCAACAAAACAATGGAGAAAAAACGGTGAATTCTCCAATTTTGGTTGATAATTTCTGCAAAATAAAAATAAAAATGGAGTCTTTACTTGAAACCCAGAAAAAAAAACACTTGAAATGAGATTCTTATAAACTTCAAGAACTGAAAATAAGAAAAACCCAGAAAGTAAATCAGCAAAAAAATGGAGAAAAATAGTGGATTCTCCAAATTTTGGAGTGAAAATTATTGATTTGTATGTTTAATACATAGTGCAAAAACCGTTACTTTAAATGATATGAAAGGCCACTTCCAAACTCCTATTTTAATCGGTGCGTCTGGAGTCATACGTATGTGTGACTCAGCACGTGTAAATAGTTTCTCTTTTTTTATTTTACACGTAATTAAAATAAAGACAAATAACGTAGCAAAATAAATATCGAGTATTTATGTAAGTTATCTCTTAAGTCATTAGGCTGATGACCCGTCTATATATCGTGTCATGAAGAAAGTAGAAGGCAAAAAATGATTCGAAGTATATATTAGAAATTAATTTAATAATAGGAATAAAAGAGGACCTAAATAAAGTAGTATTCTAGAGGTCTTTTTTTTAAAAAAATTCCTCTAAAAGTATTCTAGACTATCTTTGAAAATCAAATTCTTAATAGATATAATTTTTTTGGTATTTATCTTATATTTTAGTACTTTTTGGCATCTTGTAAGTTTGAAATTTAATGTATTATGCTTAATATATCTATTTATACGAGTGAGAATTAATTCAAATGAAGTGAAATCAAAATAAGCGATTATAAAAAAAAGAAGAGAATTTCAATATTTGAATAATTCTATTGCGACTTTTAACATGCTCTACACTTAAAAATACTTTGAAAAATTAAGAATTAAGTCCTCCACATTGGGTCACACCTCTAAACGCTCTCAATTAGCCCTACTTTACAACACTTATTAAATATAAATTTCATTTATTTCATTATTATGTACGAAATTTAGTGCATTTTGTAAAAAAAAATATCACTTTTTTATATTTAAAAATAATTTTATTTTGGCAATTTCACTTTATCCTTAAATACTAGCATACATAAAATGAAACTGAAAATACTTTTTTTCTTGTATTTAATATCAAAGTCGAATCCATTTTAATTAATGATTTATTCAGAGTTTGGCTCCTATTTTATATAATTTTGTATTCAAATATCGCCATAAAAGAAATGTTAAGTTTCTATAATATAAATTATTAGCTCCTTACTAAACAATATTTTATTTTACAAGCAACTTCTTAAAATTAAATTAAGCTTGAGATTCATTTTTTTATTAAGAAAACAAATACAATGTATCTCAAATTTAATAAATTTATCCACATGAATGTCCACACTTTTATAGTCCTAGTCATTACTTTTAATATTTTGTGTTAGAAGCTATTATATTATCTCAAAGAATAGTGTAATTACAGTCATATTGCACAGTGTGCACCCACTAACTTATCAAGATCCATCTCTTCCTGTTCTGTGAATTATAATTACTTGACCAAACAGTACATGCAGTATAGTCGTGAAGTAATTGATAAAATTATTTTTTATAAAATTAAGTTGTGAAATCAGTCGTTGATTTGTATGTATGTATATGTTATTCCTTTGAAGTAAAAATAAATGGTTTCTGTATTAAATTATCCTTTTTTATCGTTCTTTGAATTTAAGTGGTTTCCTTATTAAATATGGATATATGTCAATTCAAATTCTTCGTTTTTTTTTTTTTTGGTGTGGGGGCTTAGGAATGAATTATTATGTCCAACTCATTCGAATTTATATATTATAGGTTTATATACTAAAACAAATAAAAGATTACTAGTCATTATTTAGCGATAATAATTTAATTAATATTATATTATATTATATTTAGTCTTAGTGGAAATACTTTCTTTGTCGAATAATAGTTGTTCACTATTGACTTTGCAGACTTCTTAAAGCCTATAAATAGAAGGGTAATTATACTATATCACATTTGAATATAATAAATACAGTGTCCTGAAAAATATAATAGGGAAATGACCATAATTAATGATAAGGGTAAGTGTAAAATTATCCATTGATTTCATAAAGTGGACAAATATTGTTGGACATCCTAAAATAGTATAGTGAACAACTATTGTTAGACTGAGGGAGTAATAAATACAAATATTTATAACCAACACTCTATATAAATGTCATTTAAGATTTCAGCAACTCTAGATACAAATATGAAACAACATTAACTCAATTACGATCAAATATATTTGTGATAATAAATATCACTGCTATAAAAAAATAATTTATTATCATTAAATGTCTTTTTATTATAGTGATAAATGGAAAAAGTAAATTTTTTTTTTATCAACAGTTTCTTCATTCCTAAGATATAAAGGCATAATAATTGAAACCGAATAGTGTGTATCGCCTATTAAAAGAGGAAGTTACTTTATTAACGGTTTTTGCATTAGTTACGTATTGAGCTTTTAACTACAAAATTTCTTACTAAAAATATAAAAATATCATTCATCCAACCACATCTTTCGATTAGGGAGGAAAGGGGGTGAGGGGTCATGTTCACGACAAAGAAAGTGACATAATTAAATTATAGCAATAGGAAATTTCCTTCGTATAAATCAACAATTGTCATAGTCATTAATCAATAATTTATTTTCTAGCACATGTAACAACATTTTCTTGTGATGACCAATGTTAGGGACCGATCCAACTTTATGATATCGAGTTTATCTAAAATTTTAATTTTAATGTAAAGTATAAATTTAAATTCACTAAAATTGTAATCAACAGTAAGTATGAATTTATAATTTAAAAAATATAATGAATCTTAATATTGAGAGTCTTAAAGGTTGAATTTATAAAACTTTACAAAGATATTGCAATTCTTATATTTATATTAGATACCGGACCGTGCCAGCTAAGTTGTTAGTACGTTTTTACATAATTTTAAAAATATTTTTTTGTACTTTCTTTCTTCCAATTTCTATGGCATATATACAATTTTAAAATTAACCATTTTTATATGTCTTTTACATATATTAAGTTATAAATTATTGTAATTTATAGTACCCTTTAACATAATTTTCAAATAATATATATGTTACTTTTCATGTCCCAATTTATGTGGCATTCATAGATTTTTTTAGAGTCAGTTGATTTTTTTATATGTATTTCATTTTTTTTTTAAATTGTTAACTATTATGATTTATAATATTTTTTTTGTCGTTTTCAAACAATATATATTTATCATTAACCCATTTTATGTGGTACCAATAAAATTTTGAGAGTCTATCGAATTTTTTTTATATAACTTTTAAATATTTAAGTTGTTATATTAAATTTTTTGTTTCAATTTACATGATATCATAAAACTTGAGAAGTTATCCAAATTTTTATATGATTTTAAAAATATTTTAAGTTGTTAGTATTTTTTTACATAATTTTAAAAATAATATATTGTACTTTCTTTGTTCCAATTTACGTGGCATATGTAGAATTTTAAAATTAACTACTTTTTTATGTTTTTTTTTTACATATATTAAGTTGTAAATTATTGTAATTTATAGTATCTTTTTAACGTAATTTTCAAATAATATATATGTTACATTTCATGTCCCAATTTATGTGACATTGATAGATTTTTTTAGAGTCAGTTAATTTGTTTTATGTATTTTAATTTTTTTAACATTGTTAACTACTGTGATTTATAATACTTTTTAGGTTATTTTCAAACAATATATATTTATCATCTAACTCATTTTATGTGATATCAATAGAATTTCGAGAGTCAATCGAATTTTTTTAATAACTTTCTAATATTTAAGTTGTTAATTATTATGACATATAGTATTATTTATATAAATTTTTTAAAAAGACATAATTTTCCATTCATTATTTTTTTAACTCTAAACGTTTTTTTTTTTTGTAGTAACAAATAAAGTAATTCGTATTTTAAAGTGGGACCCATATGTATTACAACTATTAGTAACAAATAGAGTGAAAAAGGAAGAAAAAGAATGGTTCACCTGCTTGGAAAATTGGGCCAATATTGCGGCTGAGAAAGGGAAATGTTAGAAGGGCTTTTATGTCCTACATTAAGAAAGTGCAGTTATAAAACAGTCAAGTACAACATATTTCAAACATAATATTAAGAAAATATCTATATTACCCCTGGCTAGGGAAGCAAGCATGTTGACGAACAGCTGCTTCCCTAGCCTCTTCTAAATAAAATAATAAAGTAAAATAATTTAAATTATTAATTATTGTGATTTTTTAATGATATTTTAAGTAATATTTCTTTTATAAGCTTAATAAATTATAAAAAAAAACAATTAAATTGAAATAAAATATTAAATATTAATAATAGCTGAATGAGATAAACATTTCAAAAAGGTTGTGCTATTCAGAAAATATAGTAGTACAAGTTATTATGTATGAATGACATCTCTCAGCCGATATTGAAAAGGAAGTTGGGCCCACAAACTTCAATGTTCAAACTGAATACAAATCTTCTGGGGATATATGAGTCATTCTGTTAATATTGGCTGGGTTTTTTTTGTCTAACCAGGGAGAGGTACAAATATCAAGAAGCAAAATACAAATTGTTTGAAGAATAAAACATAGAAAATGCCAAAATTACCCTTGTTATACAAGCAGGCATGTTGACGAAGACATGCCTGCTTATAGACTCTTATATATTGACGAAGACATGCCTGCTTCTAGACTCTTATATATAGTAAGTATAGTAATATCTCAGTAACAAAAATACTTCTCCTACTATATGGAGTAATAAAGATTTGAACATATGTATAAGAAATATGTTGAAATATATCTACTTGTGAAATTAAAGTTGAGATCGATATTTTACGTTCGAGTTCTTGATAATGAAAAAGATTATATTGAAAACATTATTTCTAAAAATAAATTCAGCAATATATAAATTTAAATTTAATCAAACTTTAACATAAATTTTAAATACTAAAATATTAATGATTGTGGAGATCAACTAAAGAGGAATAGACAAAAACAAAACAAGTGAAGAAAATTGGAAGCTAATGAACTAAATCAAATGAGTATAAAAATACTTATGTCAACTGTATGAGATCATTTCTAGAGTATCTTTATCTATATTAGAACACTAAAGAAATTCATAGAAACTTACTAAAAATTTAATAATTCCAAAATTGTCACATCATAGAGAACTACAAAAGTGGTAGAAAGTCTTTTTTTTTCGCTAATAAAACTAAAGTTGGACAAAAAAAAAAAGCTGCTTACTTTTCCTTTTACAAAAAATAATGATAGGAAAATGGAAAAATAAAATAAAAGAGATAAAGTAATATTTTAGCATCAATTTTTTTAGGATATAGACAACAATGATACCTAACCGTACGTGGAAAATGTTAATAAATAATTACTTAATTAATTGTGAACGTTTAGAAGAGTTATTTCTTGTTTTTTCACTCAGTGATAATAGTTGGATTTGTTTAAATTTAAATTTGTGTAATATTATAAGATTTATTTTTGAAGACGATGTTTTGAACATAATATTTTTTTCAGAAGCTCAAACTTAAATACTTTAGTTAAGAATGAAGAAATTTCAATTATCATACCATAAATTCAATACCTATAAGTATAAGTACAATTAAAAAATAACAAATGTGAACAAGGAATTAAGTATATGAATTTTCATTAATGTGATTCATTTTTCTTACTTAATCACTTGACAAAAGTGCATTCACTTCGATCTTTACTTTCTTGATGAAAAAAAAAATCTTTACTTTCTCCGTTTCATTTTAATTGTCATGTTGCATTTTTTAAAAGTCAATTCGACTAATTTTTAAAGTTAAATTGAATTACATTAATTTGATATTTTAAACTAAAAAATTAATATTCCAATATTATACGAGAAGTACTATAAATTACAATTTTTTGTATATCAATATGATGAAAAAAATACATAGTTATATGTTAGTCAAACTTTTTGTAATTTAACTCTAAAAAAGGAAACTGAAACAACAAAAAAGGAAAGAAAAGAGTATATTCAAATGGTTTATATTTAAGTTTGTACTAGAAAAAAGTAGTTAAAAGATTAAGGGAAGAAAGTCTGAAAAATACAGTAAAACCTCTATAAATTAATATTCGATAAATTAATAATCTCTTTAAAATAATATTTTTTGGATCCCGACTTGAGCCAATGGAAAAAATCACCAATTTCGATAAGATAATAAGATAATATATTTCCAGAAGACCTCTTTATAAATATATGGTCCCATTAATATCATAAATTAATAATTCTTTAGAAGTACAAATATATCTTAGATAATTTAGTGAAATATGATTCTATTGTGTTCTGTTTTTTCTTAAAATTTAAATCTAATTGAAGCTCATCTCTAACTTTTGTTATTGCATCCAAGAGCTTCGGTGTTGGTTTTTCGAACTACACCATAAAATTGTGAAGAGTTCTAGATGCGATAAGTTAGCATTTGTTGTCCAAGCAAGGATTGCAAAATTGATAGCATCCAAAACATAATTTTTGTTGAATCAGTTTGTCCGACTTCATAGCCTTCTAATATCCTGTAATAAAATATGTTACGATAATACATCTTGAAAGCTCTTATTATCCCAGCATCACAAGGTTGAATTTTGGATGTCATGTTGGGTGGCAAGAAAAACAATTCAACATTTTGTAGTCCTCTAATATTTCTATTATGGGCTCGACAATTATCTCGATTCATTGTCAAGAAATTCAAGAATTTAATTCATTGTAAAATAATACATAATGTTCATTGTTTCTTAATAATCAATTATTATTCATTGTATTTTTATTAAAAACATTCGATGTATGATGGTGAGAAAAAAAAACTATTTAAGCAACATAGGAAATTTCTTTAAACCATATCCAAAAATGGCTTCAATATTTAATATTATGTGCTGGATAATTATTTAATATTTTTGTGAAATCAATGAATATGATACATAAATTAGTAAGATACAATGATTTTAATGTATTCGTTGTACTTTATGTATAATTTTTTTTTAAATGTAAAATCAATAAATATGATACATAAATTAACAAAATACAACAATTTTGATATAATCAAAATTAACCTTCATTAAATCTCAAATCATTTTTTAAATTAATAAATATTAATTTATCGATTAAATAATATCTCTATAAAATAATAAAATTTTATGGTCCCACCTATATTAATTTATAGAGGTTTTACTGTACTCCAACTTTGGCCGAAATTGTTGTTACGATACCAAACTTTATGGAGGACCTTTTACCCCCTACACTATTTAATAGTGTATTTTAAAGGATATATGTGCCCACATGGACACGTTACTATTTATAATTATACAATATTTATGATGTCTACGTGTACACATATATACCTTTAAAATACACTATTAAATAGTGCAAGGGGGGTAAAAGGTCATTTCCAAAGTTCAGTATTGTAACAGTAATTTCGGCCAAAGTTTGAATATATTTCAGACCTTTTTCCCAAAGATTAATGATAAATTACCGATTAATTTCGTAGCTAAAAGATACATAACAAAATGAAAATGATTTACAAGAGCATCTTTTATTTTTGGTATAAGGACAACATTAAAGATCCTTTTTTATAGAATTAGGTGGGACCTTAATCTACATAGGATGACTAGAAATTTAGGTTTGTAACCTAACAAACCTAATCTTGTTTTGGTTTGTCAAAAATAAACTAAAAGCAAATTCTTATTTAATTCTACTTTTTTATATATATAAATAAAAGAAATATAATAATTCGGAGTATATAAAAACACATATCATAACGAAAATTAAATGACCAAACTTAGTCGTCTTTTATAGCTAAAAAACGTTTTTCCCTTGATATGAAATTTTTTTATGTGACTCAAATTAATCGGACCTCAATATCAAACTGGAAGCAGAAAAAAACTACAACATAAAAGATATAAGATTCTATTCTCACCATACATCCAAAAAGTTGAAGCATATGATTCTATCCCACTTTTTCCTAACTTATTGGCCTCATACAACCCTATCCCCTCCCCCCACCCCCGGGATGTCTCATAATATCATCGACAATATGATGAAATGGTTGAAATTTTACTACTCTAAACATAAGATCACCCATTTGAGTTTCAGGAATGGAGTCTTTCCCAATACCGAGCACTCTTACTCCTTTGTGAGACTAGCATTGTATATGGATTGTGAATATCGAACGATTACACTGAAAAGGAAAAGAAAAAAAACATTTAAAAATATAAATAACATTAATAAAAGAGTAACTTATAGAAATTCCACTAGTTTAGGAGTTGATCACTTGGATACACGTTAGTTTGTAATATTACGAATCTTATCAAATTTTGATGCGTTCAGATACGTCCACATACATGTATCTCGGGATACATGTGGTGTAATTTGTTCTAAATACATTGTATCCAAGTAGATTTGCTTGTATTTGGGATACATGTGGTATAATTGGTTCTAAATACATTGTATCCATGTGGAATTGCTTGTATCTGGGATACATAGACAAATCTCTCTCGCCTCATTTTCATCTCACTCACCACTTTCCTATGTATCCAGTACCTTAGATACATCCAGATATATGTGAATCGCACCATATACATACATATACATGTATCTAGCGTGTATTTAATGTTATTTGCATGTATATGGGATACATAGACAAATCTTGCTCGCCTCCCTCCTTTTTTCGCCCTCCTCTCTCCCTAATTTAGTGTATCTGATAGCAAAAAATATGTATTTAGGCGTATCTAATTTGAACTCTAGTATGAAATTACTAATTAATGATATAAAATGTAATTTTTTCAGGCCATAAAAAATATATATATATAATAGAAATATTTATATAATTAGATAGTTTCTCATAAAACAAAAGTCCGCCCAATGTTTATTTTTGTCCCCTTGAGAAAGCCCAAGATTTATTTGACATGACCCTTAGAATGAAAATGAACCACAATTGACTTGCGAAAGTCTTTCTTCATCTGCAATTTGTACAAAATCAGAAACTACATGTGAAAACTGAAAATGTCATACTTCTATTATAAAGAAAAATATGATATGAAATAATTGAGTTAGCCACTTGTTTTCAATTGAAATGGTCCAAAAAAACCAAATTTATCCCCCACAAATTGAGTACACCCTCCGTTTCATCTTTATCTTTCGCCATTTGGTATTCAAACTGAAGTGAACTTTGATCAGCATTTAAAAACGTATTTTTGATCGGCTTGGGTTGAGATGAGTAGCAATTCATGTATTTTTGGTTTCATTATTTAGTTTTTAAATTTTAAATCTAAAATATTGATTTGATGTCAAATTAATTTATATAAAGGGAAAATCATACGTATCTTATGCCAAATTTTCAAGTGCAATTCTTTGTGTATGAAACCTTCTTACCAAAAAATAGGGGCTATGTCTATCTTTATCTTCTAGAGATAAATATGGGTGGATCTAGAAGTCCAACTAAGAGTTCCTTTGAATTTAGTATGTTTAATACAAATTTTGTATATACTAAAAAAAATTATTAAATATTTTATCATGAAAGTTATTATTGTATTACTATTAACCTAACAAAGCTTTTAAAATTCATAAACTTTAAATTCTGGATCCCCTTTCAGATAAGAATCTATTTATCAGTTTAATTTCTCAAGATATTTCTTTGGGGCCAACTTATCAATTATAACATCGTTATAAAATATATCTAATTTTTGGAAGAAAAAATATTCTATAGATTTTATTTGTCGAATTTAGCGAATTTCAAATCACTCCACCTCCTTTAGATTGTTGAGCCTGAAATTTAAAACTATCAAAGTCTAACTTCAAACTCGAATGTTTGAAGATTGAACTATTAAAATCAAACTTCAAGACCTTTGGGTCTAAATTTAGGTTATGATTGTTCAAGCTTCAGATTCCAAAGTTTGAGGTTTGAGACTTCCAATTCGAGGTTTGAATTTTCACATCCGAAGTCTGCCGTTTGATTTTGAAGCGTTAAATCTTAAATACTTCATAAATTTAGACTTAGTTTCTAGAAATATGAACCACATTCCTTCTTGCATTAATAGTTTACTTTGATATTGTAAAATATTTTTACTATATTAATGTAATAATAAATAACAAGTTTTAAAATTTTCCATAGGCTATGGTCAAAATAGAAATATTAATCTCATAGGTTACCAATTTAAGCATTGAAAGAGCCAAGACTTTGTCAGATTTGGAGTTTAGACCTTTTAAAGGGTGGCAATTTGTAGTTCTTTAATTCATTCACATTGAAATTAATGAAAGTTGAAGTTCTAGCAATCTCCAAATTAATTTCACATTTATTAGTCTTCATATTTAACTATAAATGAAATAAAATCGTATCTGAAAAAGATTGATGGTAATTTTTTAAAATAATAATTGACAATTTACCCCACTATTAAAGATGTTCCAAAAATATATGTATCAAGTCAATAGCTTTACAAACAAATGAATCTAATTGACTTAAAAATAGATTGTTTTTTTTTAAGTCTTTGATTTTACTTTTCACAAATAATTATTAAAAAATTGGGACCTATCTCCTAATGAAAAGGATAGGTTCTTTATTAAATGGCATCACCTCTATGGGTTCAAAGAATCTATTCATGGAAGTCTTTCAAATAATATAAACACCTTCCCAAAAGACTTCTCAACTACTCCCTCCGTCCACAATTGTTTGTCAGGTAAGATCATGCACATTCCTCAAGGAAAATTTAATGCAAGGTGTAATTTGACTAATATAACCCTACTATATCAAGAATACCAAAAGTCCACATAATTTTTCAATTGAACTACACAATCATTAAGGGCAGAATTGGAAAAAAATAATTAATTATTTCATGATTGTTTAAATTGACAATTAATCTTGGACATCTATTTTTAGTATACCTGCCAAACAATTGTGGACGGAGAGAGTATCATTGTTGAAACTCATTAAGTTAAGATAGCATTAATTAAGAAAATTAAGGCGTTAATGTCTTTCTAGCATCATAAAACTTGATTAAGTACTTTATAATTGTAATTATATCTTTATTACTTTTTTCGTTATGTAAAAAAATTAAATTTTTATCATTAGAAGTAGGGGTGTGCATTCGGCTTTTCGGTTTGGTTTTATACTATTCGGTTTGGATTTTTCGGTTTTTGGTTTTGAAGAAGTGTAACCCAATTCGAATCAAAATAAATTTGGTTTGGTTTTTCTCTTTTTGGTTTGGGTTTTTTCGGTTTGGTTAATCGGTTATGTCAATAATTAGAAACATAACAAAGTTATATTTGCAATTTAAATAAATATACGGAAAAGGGTCAAAATTGCCCCTAAACTATGCAAAATAGACCACTTATACCCTCCATTACATTTTGGGATCAAAAATACCCCCATCGTTATTCCAGGAGACCACAAATACCCTCAAGAGTTAACACCCCAAATTTTTAGTGACGTGGCAAGCCACATGAGACTAATCCCTCCACCTAAGCGTTGTCAACTAAGATTAACTACAAAAGAACTTAACCTTTAGTGGCGACAAAGTCGCCACAAATTCCCAAAATATTGCCACTAAAGGTTATGAGTTATTTTTAGTGGCAACTAAGGCTCCAACAACCATTCTTGAGTAAAACCTATTTTTTCAACAAAAAAATATGATAATTAATTTTCTATTGCAACCTAATTTTCTAAAATAAATAACTTGCAATATCAATATTAAAAACATACAATATTATTACAAAAAATCATCAAAATTACTTCTCGATTCAAATCTCCTACTATATAATGCATCATTGTACATTTTATACATTTACATATGACATAAAAATAAAGCATACAGTGTCTTCAAACCCCTACTTAATCGATATCATTTTTTGTTTTTTAAAAACAATGAAGAAAAAAACACAAAATTAGAATTTAATGTTAAAAACTTTTAGTGACGATTTTCTGGACTTTTGTGGCGACTGTTGTTGCCGCTAAAGGTCTAGTTCTTTTGTAGTGAATCGTAGTTGGCAATGTTAGGTGGAAGGATTAGTCCCACGTGGCTTGCCACGTCAATATAAATTTGGGGTGTTAACTCTTGAGAGTATTTGTGGTCTCATAGGATAACAACAGGGGCATTTTTGATCAAAAAATGTAATGAAGGGTATAAGTGGTCTATTTCACATAGTTCAGTGGCAATTTTGACCCTTTTCCGATAAATATATATATTGAATTTCTTAAATATACTTTTTAATATAAATCACAAGTAAAACGTAAAACACAATACTTAAAAGTATATCAATTATAGATGTCCAAACATAAAAATAAAAAAACTAAATCATAATGAAAATAACTAAAAAGGGACAAAAGTGGTTAACTCCA